CTCCTAACCACCTCTGCCTCAGTCCTGCCACCATAGCTTCATCCAGAAGGTTTTTTAGAAGGACATCCAGAAGGTAATTCAGCTGTCTGGTCTAATTAGCATATTATGCTTTTATTATTATAGATGTTACCCTAATAAATTAAATGAAATTTTAAATTTTTTATTAAAATTTAAATCAGATGACTAATATCCAGAAGAATTATTTTTTAATCCTCACCTGAGTATATGTTTTTATTGATGAGAGAGAGAAAGAAAGGGAGAGAAAGAGAGAGAAGCACCAATGTAAATGAGAAGCACCGATTGATTGCCTCCCATATGTGCCCCAACCCATGAACCAACCAGCAACCTGGGTATGTGTCTTGACTGGGAATTGAACCTACAACTGTTTTGGTGTATGGGACAATCCTCCAACTGACTGAACCACCCGGCCAGGGCAGAAGTTCTTTTAACTTGCTTTTTTTTTTTTTTATTGTGGTAAAAATGTATATATATTTAAAATTATAATGTAAGAATTACCATTTAAGCAATTTTTTAGTGTACAGTTTGTGGCATTAAGTGCATTCACATTGTTGTAACACCATCACTACCTTCCATCTTCAGAACTCTTCACCTTTTTCAACTGAATCTCTGTCCTCATTAAATACTAACTGCCTATTAACTCTCGCCCAAGCCCCGGCCACCACCATTCTTTCTGTCTTTGTGAATTTGACTACCCTAGGAACTTCACATAAGAGGAATCATACAATATCTGTCCTTTTGTGAGTGCCTTATTTCTCTTAGCTTTATGTTGTGTCAGAATTTCCTTCCTTTTTAAGACGGTATAAAATTATTTTGTATGTATATACCATGTTTTGTTTATCTGTTCATCTGTCAAGATACTTGGGTTCCTTTCACTTTTGATTATTGTGAATAATGCTGCGATGAACATGGGTCTACAGCCAACAAAACTTTAAAACCTTTTTTTTTCACTGATCTGAGCTTGTACCTTCGGTCAGCTATAAAATGGCTTGGAATCTTGTATATAAAATAAAGGAAAGCATTTGTTTTTTTGATAGATGATAAAGCAAATTATTTCAGTTATTAAAATTTTGTTAGGAAATTAAAAGGAAAAGAGTAAACAGAAATTTTTAAACATGAAAAATTTAACTTAGCCACTGGACAATTGTCCATAGAATAAAGACCTTTCTTAGCATATCAGAGAACAACTCATTCAAAATTTGAAAAATTGCAAATACTTTTACTGGGTGTTGCAGTATAAGAGACGAGACCTTGTCCAATTAATATTTTGAGAAACTTTATGTCAATGAATTTACAAATTTATTAAGAAGTGTGTTTAGCAATTTTTCATTGAGTATGTAAAGATTGCATCAGAATTTTCATGAATGTATTGTAGTTTGCAAATTTTTACTAATTGAAGATGTAAAGGAGTCAATGCAAATTATTTTTAAACTATTTTAAATCTTTTCAGGAATTTATATTTTTTGTGATTTTTTTATACAACCATATTTTTACTTTGTTTTAACAACCGACAGATGTATAAGGGTTTTGACAGAAATGTGCTATATACACAATTTTAAATATACCAGATTTTACTGATATGCAAAAATTTTGCCATTAAAATAAATGATTTCTCAAATAAAGTGTGTTCAGTTTATAGCCACAAATATAAATTCATAACATACATAATTTTGAATTTTGCCATATGGAGTTGTTGCACTCTAAGACTTTTCTAGACAGAATGATGAAGTTACTTGTATAGTATTTGAAGACTTATATTTATATTTTCAATGGCTATTGGACTATAGCCAGTGACAGCGAACCTATGACACGCGTGTCAGAGGTGACACACGAACTCGTTTTTTTGGTTGATTTTTCTTGGTTAAATGGCATTTAAATATATAAAATAAATATCAAAAATATAAATCTTTGTTTTACTATGGTTGCAAATATCAAAAAATTTCTATATGTGGCACGGCACCAGAGTTAAGTTAGGGTTTTTCAAAATGCTGACACGCCGAGCTCAAAAGGTTCGCCATCACTGGACTATACCATTGAGATTACGTATAGGTGTTTTTCAAGAACCAATGTTCTCAATAGTTTTCTACACTCACAAGGTCAATTTCCTCATTGCTAAGTCACTCCCAGGCATTCCATAAGTAAACTATTCCCCATCACTCTACCAAAATTGCTCTATTGTAGTGATTTTGAACTGGTGTGCTGCCAGAATTTTTAAAACATGCAATACCTGACTATTTAGTTAGGGCACTGACCTCCTTTCCCTTAGATTGTCAAATAAAAAATGACAACAGCCATCTGGTGTGAATGAATCAAAATTATGCCTATTTTTTTCAGATTAGCAAAAATTCTGGTGTGCCTCATAATTTTAGTAATTAGTTTGTGTGCCATGAGATGAAAAAAGTTGAAAATCTCTGCTGTATTTTTTTCCATATTACTAAACCCTAGACTTATTGTTCAGCCTGTATTTTACGTGTCTTCAGACCATCGTTTTATAGGGTTGACTCTCCCTCTCTTAAAACAACTTTCTCCATCTCCACAAGGGATTCACTGAGAGATGCATCTCCATTTTCTTCTGTGTTACTTTGAGACCCGAAGTACTGTGGCTACAGGGAGATAGGTCTTTGGAGCACAGACACATTCCTGAGGGGGAATCTCTTTTTCTCAAAGCCAGATCAACAGTGATGAAAGTGAGGAAAGAGGTGTGTGTGTGTGTGTGTGTGTGTGTGTGTGTGTGTGTTTGGGTTGGGGGGAGGTGGGGGTGGTGTGGTATGGGTCCGTCTGGCTCCAAAGCTGCCTTCCTGGAAACAGAATAAGCACAGGCTTTCAGTTCTGCCATTTGCTCTGCACCCCAAGGGAGCTGAGTGAATTCAAGAGTAGAACATCAGAAGAACAATTTATTTAATGAGGAATGATGAAAAATCATTCTCCTGGGGCTTGAGAAACCATAAATACTTCCCTAGCATCCTCACCCATAGTTCAATAAGGCCTGACCAGGGGAAGACCACACCTGTGCCGCTCACAGACATGACTTTGTGACAAGTTCTATCTCCCTACCATTCCCTGGGTGAGTCTGTCCTCAGCATCTAACAGTCAGAGAAGAAAGAGTTTGTATAAATATTTCTTTAAGCAATGCCAGTGGAGTGGGTCCCCTGGCCTAGTGAGTATGGCGTATGAATAGATGTATTAAAAAAGTGGTGAGGGGTCCCTGGCCGGGTAGCTCAGTTACTTAGAGCATCATCCTGATACACCAGGGTTGCAAGCTTGATCTTTGGTCAGGGCACATGCAAGAAGCAACCAGCAAATGCATAAATTAGTAGAGCAACAAATTGATGTCTCTCTCTCTCAAATCAATAAATTAGATAAAATGTGGTGAGGGAAGGAGGTAGCATGGTTGATGATGTCCCATGGAAATTTTATTTTAATCTTTGGAATTTATTTTTCTGGCTATGTCTGTCTTTTTAGATTCTGTTGTCTCTGTTACCTCCAACTCTGATGGAAACTCATTCTGGAACCAGTGACTTGCTCAGTGTCAGTAGGAATTGTCTCCAGTATGAAATGTTTCCACACCCCTGCTCAGAGCTTTCTGTCTTCTTGTGGTACAGTCATTTTCCAAGTGTGGTGCCTGAAGCAGTGGCATCAACACACCCCAGGGAGCTTGCTGGAAATGCAGAGCCTCAGGCCCACCCAAGACCTGCTGACAGAAATTCCAGAAATGAGACCCAACAATCTGTTTTGACAGATCCTCCAGGTGATTCTGATGCCTTCTATAATTGGAGAACCTCTGCTCCAGCAAAGTGTCTGCTTCTCCTCCCAGCCCCATCATCATTTGGTTTTTATGAGGTTATATACTGTACACTATTTTTAAAAAATAATAATAGTGTATTGATTTTTTAGAAAGGGAGAAGAAGAGAGAGAAACATCCTTATGAGAACTGTAGCATCAATCTGCTGCCTCCTGCATACCCCCCATCAGAGATAAAGTCCCCAACCTGGGCATGTGCCCTAGACTGGGAATCGATCCAGCAACCTCCTGGTGCATGGGATGATGCCCAGCCATCTGGGCCACATTGGCCAGGGCTTAGCTACACTCTTTGATTGAACAAATATGTACTGAATGCTGACTATGTGTCAGGTGTTATCTATGTTGTCATTGAAATTGTGAATGGACCTATTTCCCCCCTTTCCTAATGATTCTTTGCAGAGACAAAGAAAGCTGATGATACTGATTAGTTCTAATTTATTTAAGTTGACTTTAGTGTTCCCAAGTAGGTAATCATATCAGCAGCTAATCGCGACCAATTTTGTTTTTGGTTTTAAACTATTGTATATGATTTACTTTTCTTGTCTTACAGTATTTCTTTTGAATTATTAGGTACTATATTAAATAATTATAACAGGCATAATTTCTCCTTATGAGTTTATTTTGTGTTTTTAGGGTTTAATGATGGATCTTGAATTAATACTTAAAATTTTACTCTTCCCTTCCCATCAATGACTGTTAAATTTTATTACATACATTTATATTGAAACTATCATTATTTCTGCATTGGTCTGTTCATGCAAATACTTTGTTATCTGACTTTCTAATATTAAATATTTTTATACCTTTCAAATGAACATTAATTCATAAGGGAATGTTATCTCTATTAAGCAGAGAGCTTCATCTTACTCCTTTTTCAGTTTGCTGCATCTGTAGTCAATGTGAGATTAACTTGTAGATTTCTTGTTTATATTATATATTGCTCTTGGTTTCAACCTTCATTCAACTTTTCCTGCTCTTTGAGAACAAACCACTGGATTACCAGGATCAGAAAATTTTATGACATGTGAGCTGAAATGCATAGCTTAGGTTTCAGTTGTGGGAGGGACAGATTTTTTAAAAATATATTTTTATTGATTTCAAAGAGGAAGGAAAGGGAGAGAGAGTTAGAAACATCAATGATGAGAGAGAATCATTGATTGGTTGCCTCCTGCACACCTCACCATGGGCATTTGCCCTGAATGGGAATCGAACTGTGACCTCCTGGTTCATAGATCGATGCTCAACCACTGAGCCATGCCATCTGAGCAGGAACAGATATTAATAAAATAATTTCATAAGTAAATGCAAAAACACAACAATGACTTAGACAATGAAGAAGACTCTAGGAGGCTATAAAAGCATGAACTAGGGGGACTGCACTTGCTGGGCAGGGAGGGTTCAGGAAGGCTTCTTTGAGGAAGTGATATTCCAGATAAGAGATAAGGATAAGAATTATCACAGGAAGACAAAGGCATGGAGGAGCACCCAGCTGGGAGGGCAGTACTTACACAAGCATGGCTGGGGATGTTTAGGATTCCTAGGAAGGCAAAAGTGTTAGAACTGCAAGAGTGAAAGGCTAGTGTTGTGCTTAAGATTGGGAGCTTGGAAGGAATCCACATGCACTAGCAAACCTGGAAAGGGTGTCAAAAGAAAGAAAAGTCATAGACACTGAGGCAAAAGTCTTCAGCTGAAAGTACCCTTCAGAGCATATTTGTGTTTGCTCCTGCCTGGGGCCAAGGTATGTGCCATCAGGACCACTGAGACTGCATTCCTCTTGCTGAGGTCCTAGGTGAGTGTGAGTGTGGGCTCTAAACCTGGGAGTGGCCACCTCGGCTACAGTAATTTTTGAAGCCTGACTCTGACATTTCTTGGATGGATTTTCTTTCTTTTTTCTACCCAGTACTATTGGGCATTGTGTGAAAGTGTTTTTAACTTTTAATTTTTACATTATTTCAGGTTTGAAGAAAAGTTGAAAGAATAGTTCCTACGTATATCCTTTGCTGGATCCCCCAAATGTTAACATTTTTACCACCTTAACTTTTATCTTTATCCTGTTTTCTCTGTCTTCCTTCTGTGTGCATGTGTTTTTTTCCAAACCATTTGAGAATAAGTTGCACCTCTAAATCGTTGGTATTCCCTAAAAACAAGGACATTTTCCTCACACAACCTCAGTACAATGATCCAAATCAAGAAATTAAAAATTAACATTGATATAATACTGTTATTAAAGTTACAGACATCAGTCCTATTTGGACAATTATCCTAATAATGTGATCTATAGCAAAAGAAAATCCAAGATCACACGTTACATTTGGTTAACATCTCTTTAGACACTTTTCATCCAGAGCAGCTCCTAGACTTTTTTTGAATTTGAATGCCCCTCTTTTTGGCTTTGTCTGATGCTCCTGAACCTGAAGATTGAAGTCCTGTATCTTTGGCAAAAGTCCCACAATAGTCGCATTGAGTCCTTTCTAGTGCCTCCTACCAGGAGGTACATGATGTTGATTTGTCCCATTTTGAAGCTTCATGACCATCTGACAGGGTTGTTATAAAATGGATACTTAAGATAGGTGGTCAGGAATTCTATTCGGTAGGATTCCCTCTTGGTTTCATTGTTATAAAATGGATACTGAAGATGAGCGGGTGGGACAAGAGACTCCATCTTTTAGGATTCCATTTATAAGTGAATAGAGACCCGACTCTTAGATAAAATGACAGTCTTTATCAATAACTTGCGTGAAAGGCATCGTCAACATTTCTGGTATGTGGAGGGTGCCAGTTTGTGCTAATTCATGTTGTTCTGGTATCTTCCTTCATAGATATATCAGCCACATGAAAGCAGGAAACAAAACAGGAATTTTAGTGTTCACCCTCCTTGGACTCTCTGAGGATCCAGAACTGCAGCCCCTCATCTTTGGACTGTTCCTCTCCATGTACGTGGTTACTGTGCTTGGGAACTTGCTCATCATCCTAATCATCAGCTTTGACTCCCACCTCCACACCCCCATGTACTTCTTCCTTTCCAACCTGTCCTTGGTTGACATCTGCTTCAGCACCACCATAGTCCCCAATATGCTGGTGAGCATCCAGACAGAGAACAAAGCCACTTCCTACATGAACTGCCTCACTCAGGTGTATTTTTCCATGTTTTTTCCTATCCTGGACACTCTACTCCTGACCACGATGGCCTACGACCGGTATATGGCCATCTGTCAGCCCCTGCACTACATGGTCATCATGAACCCTCGTCTCTGTGGCTTGCTAGTTTTTATTACTTGGTTCATTGGTGTCATGACATCCCTCCTCCATATCTCTCTGATGATGCATCTGAATTTCTGTAGGGATCTTGAAATTCCACATTTCTTCTGTGAGGTGACACAGATCCTCAAGTTGGCCTGCTCTGATACCTTCCTGAATAGCATACTGTTATACTTTATGACTGGTGTGCTGGGTGTGTTCCCCCTTTTGGGGATCCTGTTCTCCTACTCAAGAATTACTTCAGCCATAAGGAAGATGTCCTCATTGCAGGGAAGGCAAAAAGCATTTGCCACCTGTGGGTCTCATCTCTCAGTCGTTTCTTTATTTTATGCGACAGGCATTGGGGTCTACTTCACTTCCTCGATGACTCACTCTTCCCAGGAAGTCTCAGTGGCCTCAGTGATGTACACTGTGGTCACCCCTATGCTGAACCCCTTCATCTACAGCTTGAGAAACAAGGATGTAAAGGGCGCCCTGGGAAGGCTTCTTAGCAGAGCAGTCTCTTGTCTGTGATAAATCTATTGGTCCTGGGACTGAGAAGGTTTGTGAGTACCAGTGGCAAACACTTTTATTCCGAAGTTCTTACACTTGAATATCTCAAAGGATCTTATTCTTTTATCCAGTTCTTAAGGACCTATGAATTTGCTCTCTCTCAGTTTTTTACACACATTTAAACAACTAATCTCTGAGTAATTTCTTTGATGACTTTTTTGTCCTATTGGTTGTCCAAAAATTATGTCTTTGGTCTTATTCCTTACCTTCACACTCGTGAGTTCTAAACTTGGATTTAAGGCATTTACTATATCTTTGTTATCTCAAATGTTGGCCTAGAGAGTTTAAAGTGATTGTTCACTTTAATTTATTTCTATGTGTTTGATTGTGAATTGTGTTATTTGTATGTATCACCAACAGTGTTGTTTTTTTTTTTTACTGTTTTTTTAATAAAGTATAATTAAAATACATATCAAAACAAAGTTGATGTGTTAGTGCTTATTATATGATAAGCATGTGCTGATTTTTCTCTGTTATTTATGTAATCTCAATAGGAAAAATTACTGTCCCCATTTTAGAGGTGATAAAAATGAGACTCTAAGAAAACTAAAAACAATACAAAACTTTCCCAAAGTTACAGAGAGATGAGGGACCCAGTGGCAAAAGCAGGATTCAAACCCAGAACGCTAACCCTGAGCCCATAGTCTAATCTAACAGTCTTCACAGTTTTCCACATAGATTTTGATGTTGTGCACATTTCTATGGTAGATTTTACTGCTGATTGGCAATATTTCTAATTATTCTCTCCTATTGGACACCCAACAGAATTGCACTTCCTTTCTCCTTGAAGGTTAAGGTGGCAATATGTTTTTATCTGCCCAATAAAACATGAGTGGAATTGATGTGTTCCTTCTAGGCTGCTATATTTAAGAGCTGGTAAATTATTCTCTATATTCACTCTGCTTTTGATATGGCTATTGTGGAATAAGGGTATCATAAGATCAAAATAGTCTAGAAAGCTGGCAAATACATGTAGGACTTTCCTGGATAGTTACTCAAGTCCACATATAAATTATTTTTTAAATGTAGAATACCAGGAATTCCATTAGTGCCACAATTCATAATCTTTCAGTGTGATATATCTGTGATATTGTTGTGGACCAATGTTTGCGAGAGTATGACCACCAACTCCAATTAGGTCTTAGCAGCAAGTGAGGATTTATTGAAAGCTGGCCAGCGACTGCAACAGATCCTCCACACAGGGAGCCCCACCCTGCTGCAGCCCTGAGCCTTTCTCTAACAGCCTTTTTAAAGGGTGTCACAAGCTTGACAGCAGCCAGTGCGGTGTCACACCTGGCTGGAGCTTTTAACCACAACCCATTCTTTGAACAATCCAGTGGAAACTATCTACTCTTTGAAAGTTCAGTAGAAACAGGCGTAACGCTTGGCTGGAGTGTACAGATTGACATCAAGATACATAGAGTACAAAGAAGTAACAAAATTTTCTTTACGTCAGTTAAAGGTTACATATCTATACCCATTTCACTATATGACGCTAAGCGTGCATGCCCATCACAATATGATATGAGAGGAGTATTTTCAGCATAGCCAACTGCTAATATATTTACCTGTAATATTGCTAGGTTTTCTTAGGGATCTACTCCTACCTATTCCTTGGAGACCTCAACATCTCAACATCTTGGTCCCTCTTCCATGTCCAACATGAATAGTTCAAAAGTCTCAAGGCTCTACCTATCATCCAGTGATGGTGATGTATTCGGTGACAAAGAGACATCAGATTATCACCAGGTTACTTTGTTTAAAGAAAAAATTAATATTCCAAGAAAAATTTGTCATATGGCTTAGTGTTAATATATGTAGTATATCTTATGTCTGTCTATCTACATCTATCTATCTATCTATCTATCTATCTATCTATCTATCTATCTATCTATCATCTAATCACATAAAATTTCCCAGGGCTGTGAGACCAGAGAAAGGCTGACAACTCTGTCAAAACATTGAGAGTTCATGAAGGGAGTTTGCATATAAGGCTTGTCTTGTGTGGAAGCTCGGCAACATGCGTATCGTCCATGCCACATGGCAGATGCTGAGCTATATAGGATGGGGCAAGATGGATGGAGTACTGAGGCATGGCCTGCCCCAGATAAGGAGAAAAAAACCTTACATGCTTGCCTGGGGAAAGGCAACAGCCTATTCCAGGAAATGGCACTCCTGGGGCATAGGGGAAGGATCAGACAGTCTCTGAGAAGATTTATGGGAAGCAATCTCTGTTCTTTCTGGAATCTAGCTGGATCTAGATTCTAGATACAGGTCCAGCTACAGTCATGTTATTGAATAGCCTTCCACCCTATCTTTCTGTCTGCTTATCTATCTATCTATCTATCTATCTATCTATCTATCTATCTATCTATCTATCCATCTATCATCTATCTATCTATCTATCTATCTATCTATCTATCTATCTATCTATCACCTATCTATCATTTATCTATCCTAGATTTCAGCGTAAGGCACCAACATGTACCTGAGCTCTTCCCTCTGAGTGTCTTAGTAAATGAGGGCGTTTTTTGTGGAGAACATGAAGCAGGGTATGTCTGAGTATGGACAAGCCAGTGGGCACAATGAAACATTTTCAGGGACCAAAGATGGTTCAATGATAAAAAAAAAAAAAGAATCACGCAGAAATATATGAGTGAGAGAAGTGGAAATGATAAAAAAGTAGAAAGTCTTATGTGGACATGTGTTTAATATCATTTAATATCATAACTGCCATAATAACTTTATTGACTTTGTAACTACGTATAGTCAATACAATCATACTTAATATAAATATTTCTTGTTTTTAAAATTAATTGATTTATGTTTTTATTTTTAATATTTACTGACTCATTCTTTTATTAGATTTATTTTCTTAATTTTTCTAAACATTTAAAACAACACCTTTAAGTGCTTGATGGTAAAAAATGTGATATATAATGATGTTAGAAAACTTGGAAAATACAAATAACGAGAGATATGGTAGGGAACCCAAAGGAAAACCACAATTTACATTTTGAGGAATTCCCATCTATGTGCACTGTATGTTTACAGACAACACATTCTTTCCTGATTATTCTTTCTAGGCTGCAACTGGGTTAATAAGTGTTCTCCCACCACAGATGAGTTTGACAAATTTGATTATTGTTATGTTTTAAAATACTTGTACTTTCAGAGATGAAAAGGAGAACTTTAATTTTGTTTCTATTCACTGTTATTTTTAGTTAAATTGCAAAATGTTTAATACTAGTTGAACTATGGAATTATTCACTTTAAAAAGGCATGAGCTGGGGTGCTGGGGATTAACCTCCCCCTTTTTTTATCTTACTGGGTATATGATCTTAGGCAAGTCATTTGACTTCCCTGGACCTCAGAACCCTCTGGGAGGAGAGTTAGGATCACTCCACCAGGAAAGCCATCCAGAGATATTACTCAAGGGTGAGGGGGATTGAGAATGGATAGAGGAGAGAGTCACTGAGTATCAGTTGTGGCTTTGAGGCCACATATAGTAGCAGAAGCTATAGCTCTTCACACTGATCCTCCTCTTTTTAGTGCATCTCATTCACCCGCTCCCCTAAAACATACACGTTGAAGCCATGGAAGAGCTTCTCCCAAAACTTATACAAAAAGTTGATCCAAATAAAGGCGATAAACAAAAAACAAACAAACAAAACACACACACACACACACACAAACCAAAATAAACAAATGAGCCCACATTCAACCAAAAGGCTCTGCACAGCAAAGGAAACCATCAACAGAATAAAAAGAGCTTCCCACCAAATGGGAGAAAATATTTGCAAATCATATATCTGATAAGGGCTTAATACAGAATATACATAAAGAACACATACAACTCAATTGAAATGAAAAATCCAGTTTAAAAACAGGCAGAGAATCTGAATAGACATTTTTCCAAACAAGACATAGTCGGCCAATGGGTACTTGAAAAGATGCTCAACATTACTAATCTTCAAAGAAATATAAATTAAGGGGTGTGGTGAGGGTGACTGAATAAAGAAGGTGAAGGAATTAGCTAAAGAACATATATGCATACCCCATGAATATGGATAATAGTGTGGTGAAGGCCAAGAGAGGGGGAGGGAGGATCTGCAATAATGTCAATATTAAATTTTTTTAATAAAAAATGACAATGACATATTGACTTGCACCTGCTAGAACAGCTACTATCAAAGAGATAAGAAATAATTAGTGTTGGTGAGGATGTGGAGGAAAGGGAACCCTTGTGCACTATTGATGTGAATATAAATTGGTACAGCCACTATGGAAAACAGTCTATAGGTTCCTCAAGAATAAAAAATACAACTACCATATGACCCAGCCATTTCACTTCTGGGTTTTTATCCAAAGAAATTGGAAACAATAACTTGAAAAATATATCTGTACTCCCATGTTTACTGCAGCATTATTTACAATAACCAAGGCATAGAATGTAAACCTAAGTGTCCATCTATGGATGAATATATAAAGAAGATGTGATATATATAATGGAATATTACTCAACCATTAAAAATCCTGCCATTCACAGCAACATTTATGGACTTTGAGGGCATTATGCTAATTTGAAAGAAGTTTGATAAAGACAAATACTATATGATCTTACTTATATGTGGAATCTATACAAAAATGAACACACAGATACAGGGAACAAATTAAGACCTGCCAGGAGTCAGGAGTGAGTGAAATTGCTGAAAGATGTCAAAAGGCACAAAAAACATGGTGACTATAAGAAATGTCAAATCATTATAATGTATACATAAAAATGTTAAATGTTGATCTAGAGTGCCAATTAAGATGACAGAGTAGAAAATGTTGTGCTTACACCCCCCGCCCCCGCCCCTCCACCCCTCCACCACATCAAGATTACAAATTAAATTATAGAATAATCAACTGGGAGAATCATCTGAAAACAAGCTGAACATAGTCCTATAACTAAGGATATAAAGAAGAAGCCACTGTTAAGGTCTGTAGGTGGATCAGAGACAACACCTGCTGCCACTGCACCCATGTTTGGCAGCTGAAAATTCGAAGGGATATCTCAGCTATAGAGGTTCTACCTGTGAGCAAGGGGCCCCAGCTCCACCAGGCCCCCAAGACCAGAGCACTAGTGCTGGGAAGAGGAGCCCCCAAAACATCTGGCTGTGAAAATCAGCAGAAATTCCCTCCATCTGGGTGAGATGGAGGTTGCTGGAAACCCAGGCATCCACTTACATGGCCCATGCACAGATTCACTGGCTCATAGGCACTTGCCTTGGGCTCCAGCAGAGGGATAGAAACTCAGGGATGCCAGATGCATGCAAGGAAAATCTGAGTTGTGTGGCCTCAGGGTGA